TCTCAAGTGCTGACATGGTTTCCCCGTAAGTTATCCTCACATGTTCATATTCTTCACCTTAGTTTGGTTGTGTGTTGGTTTATTCCTGGAAGAGATGGAATGAAAATTATGCAATCAGCATAACTAAGGTGCACATCAAGACTGCTCCTGTTTACAATGTTTAACTTCATGTATTCCTGACCATATTTCTTTGCGATGCTTTCTCTCATTCACCTCATTTTTCAGAGAAAGGGATTGAATTGGGATGGACTTTAACTCCAAAACCTGATATCCTCATAACTTTGCTGTCATAGTCTTCATGAAAATGGTGATTTGATTTTCAACTTGAAGGGTCGGATCTAGATGTGAAAGCATTTGTTCAGGTGATTCAGAGGAACATATTGCAGAGGATAATGCTGAGATACCACTTCCCTCTTTGCCGTCTTTCTTTCCTCCTTCCTTCCTTCCCTCTCACCTTTCCGGGTTTTTGGACATTTATTTCCCATTATTAAAGATTTACCATGTTCTCCCAAGTCCTAAAATGTATATATGAACACAATAGAGTAAGACTTGTTCTCTCACATGGTTTGTGTTTGGAGGAGGGTGCTCTCTGGAGATGCCACCAGGAATGGTAGGGACACACTTATGGAATGTATTCAGAATCTAGTTCATTTTCTAAAAGATTTTTTATAGGATTGAGTCTGCAGTGAAGGGTGGAGGAGATGTCAGCGTTTCTGCCACATTCCACGGGATGCTTTTTCTGTCTTCATTGCATACCAGCCTGATTGACAGTGGTCAGCACCAGATGGGACCTGCTTTCCCCCCCAATTTTTTTGTGGCTTGATGGCTTGTTTTCTTTTCAATACCAAATAATATTGCAGTTTGTAGACACACCAGTTTGTTTGCCAATTCACCTTTGAAGGACATTACGATTACATCTACTTCTGGGCAGCTTTGAATAAAGCTACTACAAATATTTGTGTATGGGTGTTTCTGTGGACATAATATTTGATTCGTTTGGATCACTGCTGCACGACCAGATGGTAAGGCAATGTTGGGCCTTATAAAGAACTGCCAAACCCTTATAAAAGTGTCGGTGCCATTTTGCATTCCCACCAGCAATGAGATTCCTATTGCTCCACATCCTTACCAGCATTTGATAGTCCGATTTTTACATTTTAACAGAGAAAAGACATCTCCTACGAAGGATGCCTCACTCAGGTGTATTTCTTTATGGTATTTGCCGGGCTAGATGACTTCCTCCTGACCGTGATGGCCTATGACCGGTACGTGGCCGTCTGCCACCCCCTGCACTACACGACCACCATGAATCCCCGACTCTGCGGGCTCCTGGTCCTAGTGTGTTGGTTCACCGTTTCCTGGGTCTCCCTGGTTCATATTCTACTGATGGTGCGGCTGACCTTCTGTGTAGGCACTGAAATCCCGCACTTCTTCTGTGACCTGGGGCAGGTTCTCAAGGCGGCCTGCTCTGACGCCCTCATCAATGACATCGTCTTGTATGTGGCCACAGCTCTGCTGTGTGTGTTTCCTCTCACTGGAGTCCTGTTCTCTTACTCTCAGATCGTCTCCTCCATAGTGAGGATGGCCTCCACTGAGGGCCGGTATAAAGCATTTTCCACCTGTGGGTCTCACCTGTCTGTGGTCTGCCTGTTCTATGGGACAGGCCTGGGGGTGTACCTCAGCACTGCTGTGACCCATTCTCCCCAGAAGAGCTCGATTGCCTCAGTGATGTACACGGTGGTCACCCCCATGCTGAACCCCTTCATCTACAGCCTGCGGAACAGGGACGTGAAGGGGGCCCTGGGAAGGCTCCTCAGCTAAATAGCCTCTTGTCAGGATGGGTCACTGACCTCAACTTAGCAGACACTTTGGGCCCCAGAGGCACAACCACAAATTTCAATATCCGGGTTCTTTACCTCCCTAATTTATGCGCCTCACTACTTCCATTTCCAGTGCTACTGTGACTACCTTTGTTCTTGTGTTACCTTCTCAATAACTCCATAATCATTTACTGTTCTGCCCTCCTTGCAGCCCCTAAAGGTCTACCCCTGGTCAGCTTTCTGACAGCCATTCCTGAAACTTCCAGCATTAGGTGTGAAGCACTTCTCTCAAGTGCTTACATGGTTTCCCCATAAGTTATCCTCACATGTTCATATTCTTCACCTTAGTTTGGTTGTGTGTTGGTTTTTTCCTGGAAGAAATGGAATGAAAATTACACAATCAGCATAACTAAGCTGCATATCAAGAACGCTCCTGTTTACAGTGCTTAACTTTATATATTCCTGACCATATTTCTTTGCGATGCTTTCTCTCATTCACCTCATTTTTCAGAGAAAGGGATTGAATTGGGATGGACTTTAACTCCAAAACCTGATGTCCTCATAACTTTGTTGTCATAGTCTTCATGAAAACGGTGATTTGATTTTCAACTTGAAGGGTATGATCCAGATTTGATAGCATTTGTCCAGGTGATTCAGAGGAACATATTGCAGAGGATAATGCTGAGATACCACTTCCCTCTTTGCCGTCTTTCTGTCCTCCTACCTTCCTTCCCTCTCACCTTTCCTGGTTTTTGGACATTTATTTCCCATCATTAAGGATTTACCATGTTATCCTAAGTAATATAAATGTACATATGAATACAATACAGTAAGACTTGTTCTCGCACATGGTTTATGTTTGGAGGAGGGTGCTCTCTGGAGATGCCACCAGGAATGGTAGGTACACACTTATGGAATGTATTCAGAATCTAGTTCTTTTTTTAAAAGATTTTTGATACAATTGAGTCTGCAGTGAAAGGTGGAGGAGATGTCAGCTTTTCTGTCACATTCCACGGGATCCTTTTTCTGTCTCCATTGCATACCAGCATGATTGACAGTGTTCAGCACCTGCTTTTTTATCCCCCCCAATTTTTTTGTGGCTTGATGGCTTGTTTTCTTTCTAATACCAAATAATATTCCAGTTTGTAGACACACCAGTTTGTTTGCCAGTTCAACTTTGAAGGACATTAGGATTGCTTCTAGTTTTGGGCAGCTTTGAATAAAGCTACTACAAATACTTGTGTATGGGTGTTTCTGTGGACATAATTTTTGATTCGTTTAGATCACTGCTGCACGACCAGGTGGTAAGGCAATGTTGGGCCTTATAAGGAACTGCCAAACCCTTATAAAAGTGTCGGTGCCATTTTGCATTCCCACCAGCAATGAGATTCCTATTGCTCCACATCCTTACCAGCATTTGATAGTCCGATTTTTACATTTTTGCCATTCTAATAGAAGTGCATTTCTTGCTGTTTTTTAAATTTGTATCTCCCTGACGGAAACATTGAGCATCTTTCCATATGCTTATTTACCCTCTGACTACCATCTTTGTGGGGTGTCTACCCATATTTATCCCATTTTTAAATTGGGTTCTTCATTTTCTGAGTTTTTAGTAACCCTTGGATGTAAGATTTTGTCAACCATTTTTTTCCTTTTTCTGCATCTGTTGATATGATCATAAGATTTTTCTTCTTTAGCCTGTTGATGTGATAGATTACGTCAATTAATTTTTGAATGTTGAACCAGCCTTGCATGTCTGGAATGAATAAATTAAACAAATACTTTTTTTTAGCTTAGCTTATTTATTCAGTGCTCACACCTTTGGTCTCACAGGTCCAGTGAGGGGCAGTGCCGGGCAAGGCACACAGTGAGTGACACAGTGTATGCACCGTTTTCACTGGTATGTGGTTCTTTTTATACATGGATTTGATTTGCAAAACTTTTTCTTGAGCATTTTTACATCTACTTTCATGAGAGATATCGGTCTGTAGTTTTTCTCTTTTTGTCTGGTTTTGATACTAGGGCAATGCTGGCTTCATAATATGAGTGAGGCAGTGTTTGCTCTGCTTCTGTTTTCAGGCAGGGATTGCAGAGAATTGGTGTTTCATCCTTACGTGTTTGGTAAAAATTCCCAGTGGAAATGTCCTGCCCTGCTGCTTTCTTTTTGGAATGTCATCGACTCAATTTCTTTAATAATTATGACTTACTCAGATTATCTGCCTCTTCTTGTGTGAGTTTTGGCAGATTGGATCTTTTAGAGAATTGTCCATTTCATCTTAATTATGAGATTTGTAGCATAGTGTGTTACTCATAATATTCCCTATTTATCCTTTTAATGTCAGGGCTCAGAAGCAATGTTCCTCATTTCATTTCTGATATTAGGGATCTGTGTCTTCCCTCATTTTTTCTTGGGAAAGATGGCAACAGGTTTATCTATTTTATGGATTTTTATGCAGAACCAGTTTTTGGATTTGCTGATTTTCTCTGTTCTGTTTTCATTTAATTGATTTCTGCTCTAATTTTTATTATTTTTTCTTCTGCTTGCTTTGAGTTTATATTACTCTTCCTTTCTAGTTTCTAGATTCCTAAACTGGAAGCTTTATGTGATTTAGTCCTCTTCTAATATATACATTTGGTGATACAACTTTCCACTTAGCTGATCCCATAAATACTGTGATAAGTTGTATTTTCCTGTTCACTTCTTCACAACACTTTAGAAATGTGTTCTTTAATCTGGGACCTACTTTTCTAAAAGCATGATTGGCAGGGGCTGGAAAAAGGGAGGAATGGGGACTGACTGCTTAAAACGGATCCATTTCAATTGAGAAAAATGAAATGTTTTGGAAAGGTGTTGGTGATGGCTGCACAATAATGTGAATGTACTTAATACCAAGTGAATAGAACTGTACACCTAAACATGTTTAACATCATAGAATTTACTATGTATGTTTAAGTACAATAAAATGATGAAGAAGCAGAAAATGATTCAATAAAATTGAGTTATTTATTCAAAACTTTGTCCTTTCGGCAGGACTATGGGGAGAAAGAAGGTGCCAAGACAGCTCAGGGGCAAGGGTGGAGTTGGGATGCTCATCAAAAGCTTTTCTACTTGACTCCTGCTCGTTGAAACTTTACAGTGATTATCCCATATTGATAAGACCTCATATTCATAAAAGAGCCTATTTACTCCATTCAATTAAACCCATCTTTAGCTCTTTTATTTTCCCTTATTTATATTGGACACCTTGTTAAAGTTTACTAACTTCCATTTTTAATATAATGAAATTTTCTGTACATTTTTTTCTTCTTCAAATCAGAACATGTTTTAATTTTTATGCTACCACCATACAGTCCAGGTCTTCCAACATTGTTGTGGAATAGGACTGATAGCACACATTGTTCACTTACTCAGGATTGGTTTTAAACTTTCTCAGTTTATATTCTTAGTGTGGATTTCAGTGAGTAGCTGTAGGGGAATCAAGAAAGATCTTTTACAATCCTCATTTACTTACAACTTTTATCAAAAATTGTTCCTGTGCATTTTCAAGTATATTTTATGCATCTATTCAAATAACGTTTGATATGTCAATATTTCATACAACTTTGTGGATCTTAACATGCCAGACGTATGCTACACATTAAATTGTTAATGCTCATAATTGACGTAGCCTCTATAACAAGTTTCTCTTTTGTTTGTTTCTTGGAACACCTTTATTGCATTTAATCTGCATACCATACAATTTGCCCATTTAAATCTATAAGATTCAATGTGGATTAGTATATTCATAGACCTGTATAAATCATCACCATTTTATTACCTCAAATGCAGCCTGTGGCTCTCAAACCCATTTCCTTCTCATATCTAGGGAAAAGCAAATCTACTCTCTCTGTATAGACATTTCATATAAGCAAAATGGATTTTGCATTTTGTAGACATTTCATATCAGCAAAATCCAACAATCTTTTATCAATGGATTCTTTCCACTTAGAAGTTCTCAATTTCTATGCTGAATGTCACATATCATCTTGTTTTTTGGAGAATTTTCACATAAACATACCACTTTTTCAGCCACTGAACAACAAAAGCTAGGACCCAATAAACTTAAGTTATCTTGTGCGGCACTTATTGATGACACTATCACTAGGAATCCAAGCTGCAGAATGAGGCCATTCCACAGTAGTCACCTGAAATGCTACCAGGTCTCAGACTCGGGCAACTGGCGACTAATTCTGGTAGGACCCATAGGTCTTATTTCAGACAATAAGGATCCCATCTAAGGCCAATCTATGACTATTTCAACACACACCAAAGGTTGAGACTAATCTGATCACTGGCATCATTGCCAATAATTAGAGGGTAACCAGTGGGCTAAAATATACATACAGAAATGTAGCCACATGACATACTCCACACATGCAAGTCTGTAAAACAAAAGTGCGCAGATACTTCCTGAACACGATTTATTGTGAACTTGATTTGGATTATCATTAGTTTGATTAAGCCTCAAGAAAGTGTCATCAGGACTGATGGCCATACCTGACATAATCCAAGCCTGCCTGAGCATCAGAACTTTGTGAACTTGCACCACTAGAGATGAAATGAAGTTGTGCTGATGTGTCTGCACCTACAGTTCACACTCAGAAACAGCCAGTAGATCATCAAGCATAGTAGATTATCAGGAACAGCTGTATTCACACAAGTCTGTTTTTACAGCAATGCATGGAATGATAAATACAGGAGCAAGTCATATAACCAGCAACAGGTGTTGCTTGACCCAGGCAAATATAATTGTTTTTCCAGGCTGTCATGCTGGGTTGATGGGTGAAAAAAACATTCATATTATTCTCTCCCTCATCATGCATGCCTTGAGGTTAAAAGTACAAGGTAATTTTACAAAATTTAGAGATGTATATTCCACACTTTGGTACACCTCACTGTAAATGAATTCACTAAGTGCTGTACACACTGATGTGGTCAATGTCCTCAAAATGTAAGCACAC